CCAGTATGACACTTATTTATAAACTCTACACGTGTACCGCTTGCTCTCAGTCATGTGTAAGTATCAGTAAAGCTTAGTGTCTCCCTTGTTTTATTTTCAGGTTAAACAATACATCTGTATCCAATTTTCTTGCATACTTTTAGGGGTACAGGCCTCCCTTGTAACATAAGAGACCACTGCTCAAAACGGCTACAAGAGAAAGTTTCTGAAATGATATCAGCTCATAATTAACACCCTCTATATGGTCTTCCGCTTTGACTTTAAAATAAACCCAAGGCCCTTCTGGGTTTCCTTTTCTGCCCATGATAGCCTCAGACCTAGAGCTAAACAGGGGTCTGCTCAGATGAACAGATGCACCTCTCCATCCTCACCCCTCATCCTTTTTCCTGCATATCCAGGCCTTTGCTGGAGTCCCACGGACCTCTTAGCAGGGAAGGAGTTAAGACAGAGCAGGCACCGCCTACTAACAGCAGCTCTTGGCTGCCCCGTGCCAAGTGGTTTTCCAGTTGAGAGCACCCCTGAGGTTTAACTGGCCAAGGTCTGAACTACAATTTTTCAGGAGGATTAAGAAATGTCCCTTTTAAAGCCCATTTCCAGGAGTGTGAGGTGATTATATGACAGATAGGAAACGAGCCTAGGCATCTTTTACCTGCTCCAACTGGCTAGAATAATCTATCATAAATCCAAAAGGTAATTCCAATATGCATCCCATCACCTAAACTATTCCACATCATTTACATGAAATCATGTAAATCATGACATCATGGTTTCTACCCAACCTTATAAGCCAGTTTTGCCTTCTATAGTCAGTCAAGTTTCCCATGAATGCTATCATCACCAACCCTGCTTTCCACATAGCAAACCTGACATTTCAGCTCAATTTCTCCCTCTCCTTCATGCCCACATCTATTTACCAACACCTCCCCAACCCCGGCTGGGAGAAGTCTTTGAAATCCATCTTTCCTCCTCTGCTACTCATTCGTCTAGACCTTCGGCATGTCTTGCTTGAGGAATTACAGTCATCTCCTACTTTGTCCACCAGCCTCCAGGTTCTCTGTTTTAGCTCAGTTGCCTAATTATCTTCTTAAACAAAAGTTTAGCTGGTATCCATATACCTGTCTTAGTAAAAACATTTGAGCACACACCTCTAATATGGGATTATTTAAAAATTATAAACATGCATTACTTTGCTAATATATTTTGCATATTGTAAAATTATATATATACAAATATAAATTTAAAAGTGTGGCATGGGCCGGGCGTGGTGGCTCACGCCTGTAATCCCAGCACTTTGGGAGGCCGAGGCGGGCAGATCACAAGGTCAAGAAATCGAGACCATCCTGGCCAACACGGTGAAACCTCATCTGTACTAAAAATATAAAAATTTGCTGGGCTTGGTGGCACGCACCTATAGTCTCAGCTACTCAGGAGGCTGAAGGAGGAGAATTGTTTGAACCCAGGAGGTGGAGGTTGCAGTGAGCCAAGATCACGCCACTGCACTCCAGCCTGGGCTACTGAGCGAGACTCCGTCTCAAACAAACAAACAAAAAAAAATCACTGATCAAAGCAAAGGACCCAGAACACTAGGAATATAGAGGAAGAGAAGCTTCACAAAAGGAAGCTCAGGAGGGGAAAATGTGATGGATCCTGTCCCAGATAAAGTATCATTCTGTGTCAACCACTTGAAAAGTTTGAGCAAACTACTTGACTCCAAAGTGGAGAAAAGCCAGAAAACCTCATTCTTCTAATTTCATCAAGGCAGGCCCATAGGATCTGCCTATTTACCAAGGAAAGGACAACTTCTGAAAGACGTTGAATGGGCAAGTTACGAACAAATGTATGGGTGTCTCCTGGGTAGCATGCCCTTCAAGATTATCTGATTCTCCAAGGGCCTGCAGTTTTCATTGTCTTTGAGCTATTTTACAACTCTCCAGGTTGTAGAAAACTAAAAATAATGCAAATGACTCTTGTCCACAGAAATGCAAATGAATTTTTTTTCACTGGAATACAACCAATAATACTGCCCTATGAACATCGACCAGTTTTGCATCCATTTTTAAGATTCATTTTAGCATTCCTGATTGCCTAAAGATGTGTGTGTTATTCGAATTTTCCTTTGAATCAGTTGTAACATCTTACTAGTTATCTCATTAATTGATGAGTTAAATAAAAGCTTTTACACATGTTCATTTTCATGAAAATCGTGATTTTGCCTTTTTAATAAAAACGTATTCTTTAGATTTTTTTTCTTTTTTTTTTTTTTTTTTTTTTTTTTTTGAGACGTTGTCTCGCTCTGTCGCCCAGGCTGGAGGGCAGTGGCCAGATCTCAGCTCACTGCAAGCTCCGCCTCCCGGGTTTATGCCATTCTCCTGCCTCAGCCTCCCGAGTAGCTGGGACTACAGGCGCCCGCCACCTCGCCCAGCTAATTTTTTTGTATTTTTAGTAGAGACGGGGTTTCACCGTGATAGCCAGGATGGTCTCGCTCTCTTGACCTGGTGATCCGCCCGCCTCGGCCTCCCAAAGTGCTGGGATTACAAGCGTGAGCCACCGCGCCCGGCCTGTTTCTTTGTTTAGATACGTTCTTTAGAAACCAAGAATCCAGGAAAACCTGTGAGACTTACATGTCCTCTTGATAGGCGAGCAAAGAACCCAAAGGAATTTCCCTCCCATCATCCTTCTGTTTCGATGTAATAGAGCTGCTGCAGTTTTGCTGTAAAACGACTTAAACTTCTTTTGAAGATGTCAGCTGCCTCTGCCTTTTGCAGAAAATTCTGTTAAAGGTGAAACAAATAAAACTCTAATTGAAGCTTTGCCATTCAAACCTACACTGGCTATCAGAAATTCAGCCACGGCCTCTTTCTTCCCTTTACTTCCCAGTCTTCTACCGCTAGGACCCCGCGCTCCAGCCGTTTGTTCTTCATCCCCTTACACTACTCCCTCCGCATAGAATGGGTGAGAGTAGGGGGTCCTCCCTCCTTCTCATTCTTCAAGATCTTGTGGGAGAGTCACCTCCCCATGTGACAAGGCTCAGACATTTGCAGAAATGGCTACAAGACGTTCACATCCTCTCCTAAATTTCCACAGAATTTGTACAAATCTTTTCCGCTTAGATGCAAACATTTCATGGTTTTGCATGAGTATCTAGTTCAGAAAGCTCATTTTTCCTAGCTAGCTCTAGCATTTCACTTTGGGGATGAAACTACGTATAAGGGGCAGACGATGAGGACTTAAGGATGGAATTTGGAAGCAAATTACCAAAATATAGCTCAGCAGCTTTGCTTAATAAAAGAGAATTCAATGGATGGAATGAGGGAGGTAATGGAAAGTGGAGAATGGAGGAAGAAGAAAGAGTAGAGAAGAAAAGGAGCAGGAAGAGGGAGGGCAGAAACAGTTCTCATCACAATAGTGGTGGGGGCCAGGTATAGTGGCTCATGCCTGTAATCCCAGCACTTTGGGGGGCCGAGGCAGGTGGATCGCTTGAGGTCAGGAGTTCAAGACCAGCCTTGAGCAACATGATGAAACCCCGTCTCTATTAAAAATTCAAAAATTGGCCAGGCACAGTGCCGTGCTCCTGTAGTCCCAGCTTCTCGGGAGGCTGAGGCATGAGAATCACTTGAACCCAGGAGGTGGAGGTTTCAGTGAGCCAGGATCACGCCACTGCACTGGAGCCTGGGTGACACAGCGAGACTCTGTCTCAAAAAAAAAAAAAAAAAATAGTGAGAGAATAAAATTAGAGTTGGTGGAAACACTCAAGTAACAGTTTGAAGTATAGGGGAGTCTGTTATTGAAGTTTCGATGAATTGCTCTATGGTTCTGCAGTATGCCGTCCTTGTCATCAAATTGCCAGCAAAACTTTGCCACAGACAGCTGCATCATGTGCATTGTGTTTTCATGGAAAGAGCAAACAGTCAAGGGTTGTGTCCCACAACCCTTTTCTGTGTTGACTCCACAGAAAAAAGGAAGGAACAGCTGCAAGACAGAGAGTGGAGAACACAAATTCAGCAGAAGCTGGAAGCAGAAAACAGAGGTGACTGGGAGTGTGATAGGAATATCCAGAAATTTTGGCAAACCCGCTGAACTTTCACTGTCTGATGGACAAAGAATTTGAGCAGATCTGATTTAGATCTAAGAAGGGAGTGGCAGATAGCCCAGTGGACATCTGGTTGCCTCAGATATGTGATCCTGCTGTATCCGGATGAGATCCTGACCTAGGAACTCCTCAGAAGCAGGAGGCAGAAGATACTCATTTCTCCCAGCAAAGCAAAATGTTTGCCTTATAATGGGTGGTGAAAAAATATTAATGCATCACTTAACAAACTTTAATTAATAAGTAATGAAATGTCATTTATTCTAGTTGGTAGCCTAATACTCTGTTTTTAGCCCAAGCTATTTATTATCTAGAGGCACTTGGGCTTCTTATATTTATTATATAATATTATTTTATTTATATTATTATAGTTATTTTTATTTTTTCTGGGATTAAAATACTCATTATTCTTTCATGGTATCAAGTAATGTGTCAACTCCTTGAGGTTGTCATTGTTCTTAAGTGTTCTTAAATGTTCTTAAACCACATTGAGTAGGGCCCTAATGACCCAAACAAGTTCAAGTTCCCTATTGGCTACAATCTGACCAGTCCCATAGGGGCTGTAATGGGCTGAATTATGTCCACCTCATCACAATTCATATATTGTAGCCCTAACCTGCAGTGCCTCACACTATAACTGTATTTGGAGATAGGGCCTTCATATGGTTTGGCTCTGTGTCTCCACCCATATCTCACATTGAATTGTGATCCCCAGAGTTAGAGGTGGGCCTGGTGGGAAGTGATTGGATTATAGGGGTGGTTTCTAATGGTTTAGCACCATCCCCCTAGTGCTCTCATCATAGAGTTCACAGGAGATATAGTTGCTTGAAAGTGTGTAACACCTCTCCCTTCACCCTCCCTCTCTCCTGCCAGCCATGTGAAGACGTGCCTGCCTCCCTGTCACCTTCCACTATGATTGTAAGTTTCCTGAGGCCTCCCCAGCCATGCCTGCTGTATAGCCTGCAGAACAGTGAGTCAATTAAACTTCTTCTTTTTATAAGTTACCCAGTCTCAGATAGTTCTTTATGGCAATGTGCGAACAGACTAGTACAGGCCTTTAAAGAAGTAATTAGGCTGGGCGCGGTGGCTCCAGTCTGTAATTCCAACACTTTGGGAGGCTGAGGAAGGCGGATCATGAGGTTAGGAGACCGAGACCATCCTGACCAACAGGGTGAAACCCCATCTCTACTAAAAATACAAAAACAATTAGCCAGGTGTGGTAGTGCACGACTGTAGTCCCAGCTACTCGGGAGGCTGAGGCAGGGGAATAGCTTGAACCTGGGAGGCAGAGGTTGCAGTGAGCCGAGATCACACCACTGCACTCCAGTCTGGTGACAGAACAAGACTCCGTGTCAAAAAAAAGAAGTAATTAAAGTAAAATGAAGTCTTATATTGGACTCTAATCTGACATGCCTGGTGTTTGTATAAGAAGAGAGTATCAGGACAGAGACACAGAAGACCATGTGAGGACATAGAGGAAATGTAATGATCTGTAAGTCAAAAAGCAGTTTCAGAAGAAACCAAACCTGCCAACACCTTAATCTTAAACTTTCAGCCTCCATAACTGTGAGAAAATAGACTTTTATTGCTTAAGCCACACAGTTTGTGGTTTTTGGTTACAGCAACCCTAGTAAGCTAATATTGTGACCATATTTTCCAAACTAGAAATTGAGACATGTGACTTGACAAGTACAAGTGATTTATAGATTCAATTGACTGGAATACCCTATATTTGAAACCCATCCATACCTAATCCATAGTTAATTCATAAACTTACTTCCAAACAGGACTTTACTTAATCCTAGAAAAATATTGTCACTGAACTCTTTATAAACTCTTAGGAAAGGGGGTTCTATTCCCACCCCTGAAAATATACCAAATCCCAAGTTCTAAAACTAAAGTTTTAACACCATGCATCTTTTTTCGGGCATTTTAAAATCAAACTAAGTACAATTTAGAGAGAAATAAGGGCAGAAATCCATGAACTTCATGGACTTTTTATTTATTTATTTATTTATTTTTGAGACGGAGTCTCGCTCTGTTGCCAGGTTGGAGTGCAGTGGCGTGATCTCAGCTCAGTGCAACCTCCGCCTCCCGGGTTCAAGTGATTGTCCTGCCTCAGCCTCCTGAGTAGCTGGGATTACAGGCATGTGCCACCATGCCCAGCTAAATTTTGTATTTTTAGTAGAGACAAGGTTTTACCATGTTGACCAGGATGGTCTCGATCTCTTGACCTTGTGATCCAACCGCCTCGGCCTCCCAAAGTGCTGGGATTACAGGCGTGAGCCACCACACCCGGCCCGGACTTTTCATTCCTAACGTGTAAGTGTAGGTGAAATTATTGTAAGAGTACACTGTTCTATTTTTAGAAGAGAAGAAATCTGAGAATCTAGCATGCCTTCAGGAAGACAAGACCTTTAAGAAGAGTAGCACAGGCCGGCATTCACATCCTCAGGCCAACCACCTACATAATTGGAAAACACCTAGGGACACAGAGGAATTATTTTAAACTAAATATTTTATCGGGGTACAGTGGCTCATGCCTGTAATCCCAGCATTCAGAGAGGCCAAAGCTGAAGGATTGCTCGAGCCCAGAAGCTCAAGTCTAGCCTAGGCAACATAGTGAGATCCTATCTCTACAAAAAATGAAATTAAAAAATTATCCGGGCATGGTGGCGCATGCCTGTAGTCCCAGCTACTCAGAAGGCTGAAGCAAGAGGCTCCACTGAGCCCAGGAATTCAAGGTTACAGTGAGCTATGAGTGTGCCATTGCATTCTAGCCTGGTCAACAGAGCAAGATCCTGTCACACACACACAAAACCCCAACTATTCTTTAAGATCTAAATCTAAAAACGAGGCGCATGTGGTGGCTCACACCTGTAATCCCAGCACTTTGGGAGGCTGAGGTAGGCAGATCACTTGACATCAGGAGTTCGAGGCCAGCCTGGCAAACATGGTGAAACCCCATTTCTACTGAAAATACAAAAATTAGCCGGGCGTGGTGGCACGTGCCTGTAATCCTAGCTAGTCGGGAAGCTGAGGCAGGAGAATCGCTTGAACTCAGGAGGCGGAGATTGCAGTGAACCGAGATTGCGCCACTGCACTCCAGCCTGGGCGACAGAGTGAGACTTCATCTCAAAAAAAAAAAAAAATGAATTGAAACTGGCTGTAGTTGTTGCTATAGGGCATGTTAACTACAATGCCTGTTTTTTCCCTCAGAGCTGCAATAAGAAAAAATCAAAGCTCTCACTTATTAATGTACACTACAAAAATGCTAACATATGTATATTTAAACTCCCATGGGGAATTCAAAGAAAATGATGAAGCTTGTGGAGTCCTCATCAAGTGCAAGCCAGGTGTGAATTTTTTTTTGCCTTTTGCCAGAAAACTTCAGACTCACAGACTTTATATTATAACGAAGTGATTCAAGTCACTCCACAGGTGAAAGAAACACAGCTAAGTTAAAAGAAAAACTAAATTATGAATGTGTATGGAAGAAATACAATGATTTGACTCTGGGGTGAGATAACAAAGTAGAACCAAATTTAAAAATGGCTAAATTCACAAAAGGCAATGAAGAAAAATTTTAAAAGCATAGCTAGGGAAAAATAAGTTTCATCTACTGTCCTTACAACACATGAAAAGAGAAAATCTTTTTTTTTTTTTTTTTAGATGGAGTCTTGCTCATCGCCCAGGCTGGAGTGCAGTGGCACGATCTTGGCTCACTGCAAGCTCTGCCTCCTGGGTTCACACCATTCTCCTGCCTCAGTCTCCCGAGTAGCTGGGACTACAGGCGCCCGCCACCACACCCGGCTAATTTTTTGTATTTTTAGCAGAGACGGGGTTTCACCATGTTAGCCAGGATGGTCTCAATCTCCTGACCTTGTGATCCGCCTGCCTTGGCCTCCCAAAGTGCTGGGATTACAGGCGTGAGCCACCACGCCCGGCCGGAAAAGAGAAAGCCTTATACTAAATCTTTAAAACATGTTACCCAAAAAACCCCAGGTGTTCTCCAAGATGGGAAGGTAGGTAGCTCCTAGCCTTGTCTCCCCAGCAGCAACGTCACAACAAGAAAATGAGTGGAAACCAAGCACAGCGGTTCATGCCTGTAATCTCAACACTTTGGGAGGTTGAAGTAGGAGGACTGCTGGAACCCGGGAGTCCGAGACCAGCCTGAGCAACATCGTGAGACCTCATCTCTACAAAAAATACAAAAATTAGCTGGGCACGGTGGCACAGGTTTATAGTCCCGACTTTCGGGAGGCTGAGGTATGAGGGTCACCAGAACCTGGGAAGTCAAGGCTGCAGTGAGCCTTGATAGCACCTCTGCATTCCAGCCTGGGTGACAGAGTGACACCCTGTCTCAAAAACAAGAAAACAACAATAACAATAAAACAACAACAAATAGAGGTTTCCAAGGCACAAAAATAAATAAACACATTTTCTCAAAGGAGAAAATAAGAAAAAACCCACTTGAATCCAAGGCATGAAGTGCACAGAAGCCTCATTTAAAATGCTCAACCTCTCTTCGGATTAAAACTGCCATCACAATAGGTGGGGCAGAGAACAGCCTTGTAAAGGACAGGCTCCAGAGACAGACTCCGTGTGCTCGAATCCTGCCTCCACTACATATTAGTTGTGTCATCTTGGGCAGGTGCCTTAATGTCTCTAGCATTAATTTCCTTAGCTGTGAAACGAGAATTATTATAATTCCTACATACAAGGATAAAATTAACTGATATACATAAAGCACCTAGAAAGGTGCCATGCAGGCCAGGCGCAGTGGCTCACACCTGTAATCCTAGTACTTTGGGAGGCCAAGGCGGGTGGATCACAAGGTCAAGAGATCGAGACCATCCTAGCCGACATGGTGAAACCCCGTCTCTACTAAAAATAAAAAAATTAGCCAGGCATGATGGCGCATGCCTGTAGTCCCAGCTACTCAGGAGGCTGAGGCAGGAGAATCGCTTGAACCTGGGAGGTGGAGCCAAGATCGCACCACTGCACTCCAGCCTGGAGACAGAGTGAGACTCCATCTCAAAAAAAAAAAAAGAAAGAAAGAAAGAAAGAAAGGTGCCAGGTGCACGGTAAGCTATATTCATGGGACTCTATTCATGTTGACTGTTATTTTTTTTTTTTTTTTTTTTTTTTTTTTTTTTTTGAGACGGAGTCTCGCTCTGTCACCCGGGCTGGAGTGCAGTGGCCGGATCTCAGCTCACTGCAAGCTCCGCCTCCCGGGTTCACGCCATTCTCCTGCCTCAGCCTCCCGAGTAGCTGGGACTACAGGCGCCCGCCACCTCGCCCGGCTAGTTTTTTGTATTTTTTAGTAGAGACGGGGTTTCACCGTGTTAGCCAGGATGGTCTCGATCTCCTGACCTCGTGATCCGCCCGTCTCGGCCTCCCAAAGTGCTGGGATTACAGGCTTGAGCCACCGCGCCCGGCCAACTGTTATTATTATTGTGATTTTGTTGAAGTCCACAAACTCCTTTTCTTTCCTCTATCACCTCTGACTAGGAAGGATGTGGAGGGCCCATAGTGGACCAAAGTACCATGTAAGATGCGGGTGATTTAAGATCACAAGTCTCAATCCCTGGCCGTCAGACTAGTGGGACAAGCGTATAAGCAAGCTCCAGCAGTGATTGTCCCCATCCATGCGTGGCAGGAAACAGTCCCTGGGAGGAGATTAACTTGAAAGATCCTCACTGCCAACACCAGTCCCAACCCCAGGAAGATATGGAGGAGCCCCCCACTCCCTTCTCAGCGGGCAATTGTGTTTTGATCATTTTCATTTAAACAGTCGGCTTACATCCTTCCCACTCTTCCTCCTCTAGCGCTGTCTGCCACACTGGGCCGGCCTTTTCTTGCCATGCCTCTTGCACAGTTTGCCACCTAAGCACAGCACACAGGCTTCTCTCTGAAGCTCCTGCATCACACACAGAACCATCCTGACTCAGCATGGATCCCTGTCTTTGTCCCTCATTCCTCTTGAGTTATGTAGCATTCCCACATACATAGATGCCACATGTTACATTCTTAACCTTTTCATGCCTTCTTCCCCATTCCCATGATGCTTAAGAGCAAAGAAAGGGAAAACAGTCCAAAAAGCAGGGCAACGATATATGACTGTCGTCACTACGCATCATTTCGGGAACAAGGTCCTTAGAGTTGTGCAGTTCACAACCTGAACAACCTTATGCAGCAGCTCTGGCAGCAGGAGCTCTAATAGAATGTGTACTAGGTACACTTGGAGCACAGTAGATAGAGCGGTCAGTTCTAGGTGGGGAGGCCAGGGATAGCTGTACAAAACAAGTAGTCATTGACCTAAGATCGTGAACCACAGGTAGAGGTCCTCCATTCTTCCAAAGGTCTAGGGAGGATGTCCAGTGGAGAGGCAGCTGCTTGGGAAAAGGTACAGAAGCATGAAACAGTCCCACATTTTGACATTACGAGATGAGCAAGGACTGGGAAGCATCTAGATCAAAGGGGATAAGGAAGGAGCAGCTGGAGGTGAAGCTGAAGACATAACCGTTTGGGGAAATGCATGCTAAGCTAATGAATCAGAGAGTTCGAGGCACTTATGCGAGGGCTGAGGCCTGGGGGGAAGGGATTACACAAGAACAAATTTGTGCTTTAGAAAGATTCCTCTAGCAGTGTAAATACGGGCGAAAGTGGAGCCAGGCTGACCTGGGAGACCACTCAGAAGCTCTCATCGTAGTCCAAGAGCTAAAGATGAGTGTCCACATTGATTTCTGCAGGTATTCCAGAAACATTTAAAAAACACAAGAGATGGGGCAAGGTGACTTACTGGGATGGGAAGTAGCTGAAAGACACCAGGGTAAACAGATCCCTAGCTTTGGTAAGTGAGTAGAGGATAGTACTTTTACCTGTTCTAAAGTGGTACAGGAGGAGAAGTAAGTTTGGAGGACAAATAATAGGTTGTCTATAGCCGTACCACCTTGAACACGTCTGATCATGGAAGCTAAGCAGGGTCTGGCCTGGTTAGTACTTGGATGAGAGAAATAATAGGTTGAATTACAGGAGTCCTTAAAACATGCAAGTAGGCCGGGCGCGGTGGCTCACTCTTATAATCCCAGCACTTTGGGAGGCTGAGGCGGGTGGATCCCGAGGTCAGGAGATCAAGACCATCCTGGCTAACACAGTGAAACCCCGTCTCTACTAAAAATACAAAAAATTAGCCAAGCATGGTGGTGGGCGCCTGTAGACCCAGCTACTCGGGAGGCTGAGGCAGGAGAATGGCGTGAACCCGGGAGGCAGAGCTTGCAGTGAGCCAAGATCGCGCCACTGAACTCCAGCCTGGGCGACTGAGCGAGACTCCGTCTCAAAACAACAACAACAACAACAACAACAACAACAAAATGCAAGTAAATATATTGAAGCACTAGCTGGTTATTTAGAGTCTGGAGTTCAAGAGCAAGATTTGTTCTTAAGGTAACAGTCACAAGAGTAGCTAAGAGCACAATGAAAATGAAAAATGGAGATAGTTACTATGAGCTATTCATTCTGGGGCATTTATAAAGGAAAAATGACCAGATGTAAAGTTGAGGAAGGTGTTTTTCTAATGAAACCTGAAATATTAATGGATGCAAGAAAGGAATAAGGCAAGAGGGAGAGACTGAAATATGAGAAAGATGGAATCATCAGAGTGAGATCCGAGAGGGGATATGGTCAAGAGCATAGTTGGGCTGGATGTGGTGACTCACGCCTGTAATCCCAGCACTTTGGGAGGCTGAGGCAGGTTGATTGTTTGAGCCCAGGAGTTCAAGACCAACTTAGGTAACATGGCAAAACCCCGTCTCTACAAAAATACGAAAGTTAGCCGGGTGTGGTGGTATGCACCTGTAGTCGCAGCTACTCGGGGAGCTGAGATGGGACGATTGCTTGAGCCCAGCACATCGAGGCTGCAGTAAGCTGCAATTATGCCACTCCACTCCAGCCTGGGTGACAGTGAGACCCTGTCAAAAAAAAAAAAAAAATCGTAGTCTTCACTCAGATCCCTGAAACTGCAAGTCTAGGCTGGAAAAAGAAGGCATTCACACCTCGGAACTCTTTTTCTCTAAGAAATAGAAAATAAATCATTGATTCATTACGTCATTCTTTTGGTCACTATTTTCTGAGCACCTACAAAATACCCTGGCACAATAGGCACCATCCTTGTCCTCCTGGAACTTAAAGGCTGGGAGTGTGGCAGGTGTTAATCAAATGCCTGTACAAGTAAATGCAAAATTGCAACTGTGATAGGTGCTATGTCAAATTACATGGTTTGATAAGAGTTTATAGTAAAAAGAATTGGCCTACTCAGGTGTCAGCAAAGCTTTCCTCTCTGAATAGGTCAATTCCCCCCACTATAAACACTTTTCAGCACAAGTCAAACCCTTATTGGCACACAGAGAACTTGTCATTGATGAAGTGGCATAATTTCAATTCACAGGTTGGAGTCAATGAGTAGAGAAAGACAGGAAGAGGGCTTGGTATATGCAAAGGCCCTGTGGAAGCAGGGAGTACTGGAAGTCCTTGGATCAAAAGACAGTCAGTGTGACCAGAGCAAAAGAGTGAGGTGGAGAGTGACGAAAGATCAACCTGGAGAAGTTAGTAGAACCAGACAAGGTAGGATCTTACAGGACATCCCATAAAAGTTAATCTTAATAGTAAAGCACTAGGAAGTCATTGATGAGTTTTAAAAAGGGTAGGGGGCTGAGCTCATGTGATCACATTTGTATTTTATACATTTTCAGAAAGTAGACTTTAGCCACAGCCTGGAGAATGGACCAGAGGAATCCAGAGGGGACAAAATAGGTGAGTGAGGCTATTTCGGTAACCCTGGAAAGAGATGACTATAGCTTGGAAAAGGTGACAGTGGTGAGAATCGAAAGAGAAGATAACTTAAAAAGATATTTCGAAAGATATTATTGAAATGCAGTAAGGGTAAGGTAAAGAAATGTTGAGTCTGCCCCCCGACATTTACGATCTGCCCCAAATTGGGTAGATTACCAGGATGAAGTATACTGGAAGTAGGCTGGATTTGGAAGGAAGATCATGCATTTACTTCTAGCTATATTGACTTTAATGTGTCTTTGAGACATCCAAGAGTAGATATCAAGTAGACTGTTGGCCAGGTAAGACTGGATCTCAACGGAGAAGTCCAAATTATCGATATGAAGAGTAGGTATAGATAGAATAAGATTGTTTATGGGCAGAACACGGAGGAAAGGAGAGGTCCCAAGACAGACTCTTGGGTAGATCAAAGATTCAGTGGCTAGATAGAAGATGATGAAACTGCAAAAAGAAAGAAGAAATGGCCAGAAAGGTAAGAAGTAAAACTAAGATAGCTTTATGGCCAGAAGATGAGGGGCAAGAAATTTCCAGAAAGAGAACGTGTCCAAGAAAGTTGCTAAGAAGAAAGATGAGAGCAGAAAAGTCCATTGGGTTGACATGGAAGAGTAATGGAGCCAAAAGTCACACTGAGTCAAGCTGAAGAATGAGACAGTGAGTGTAGACGATTCTATCTGGATCCGGATTGGCTGAGTCATCGACTGTGAATAAAAGCAGTAAAAGCAGGGAGGTGATTTGAGGAGGGGGACATGGACATGTAGCTGAGAGTTACTAAAAGAAGACCCGGCCAAAAAGAATGCAAAATAAATAAATAAATAAACCGAGGAGAGAGATTTCCATTAATTTTCAGTGGCACCCGTTTGCCTGGGTGGGCAATTCTTCCTAGTTATCATAGTCTGAACTTGGTTGGGAAACACCAAACTGTGGTTAAAAAAGAAAAAAGGAAAAAATAAAAGACACAAGGAGACAATGAAGTTGAGTATCCTGAGAGGAAGAGGTTGTAATTGTCTCTGAGATCCAGGCTCCATATGGAAGGAATTGTCCCCAGGAGGCCGATAATTAGCTGCAAATAGATAAGTCAAGGGATTAGAGACCACGATAAAGACAAAAAGCATGTTTAGGGGAAGGCAGAAGGCAGGTTAAGAAAGCTGAATTGACAGGTGAAGTGGATGCTGTCAATGTGCCCTGATACCTGCATGGCAGCCTCTACTTCTGTGCCCTCTACCCTGGCCGGACTGTCACCTGCTTTTTTTTTGGGTGGGGAGAGGGGGTTGGGTTTTGGTTTTTTGTTTGTTTGTTTGTTTGTTTTTTGAGACAAAGTCTCACTCTTGTTGCCCAGGCTGGAGTGCAATGGCACCATCTCGGCTCACTGTAACCTCTGCCTCCCAGGTTCAAGCGATTCTCCTGCCTCAGCCTCCCAAGTAGCTGGGATTACAGGCGTCTGCCACCAAGTCCAGCTAATTTTTATATTTTTAGTAGAAATGGGGTTTCACCATGTTGGCCAGGCTGGTCTTGAACTCCTGACCTCAGGCGATCCACCCGCCTCAGCCTCCCAAAGTGCTGGGAGTACAGGCATGAGCTACCATGCCTGGCCATCTGCTTTTGCCTTAACACCATTCCAGGCGAGAAGTGCTGGGCACTGGATGCCCCCTAGAAGCAACCCCCAGCCAATACCTGTCAGGAATCAGTGACTGTCTCACGCAGCTCCTTGGCCTTCCCCCGGTGGGATGTTCTTGCTGCCTCCCAGAGTTCCCCGGTGGGAATGGCTCCATTTGCCCATGGTGGGCACTTGCTTGCCATTGGACTCTTTATTAGCTTCTTTCCCTTCCTTGTCTCAGTCCTCCACCCCAACGCTGGGATTAGCTCCCAAAGAAACGACTTGTATTGGAGTCCTTCTTCAGGGTCTGGTTTTTGGGGGGCTCCAGCCACGACAGTAGGTGGTTGTTGCCGAAGTTTTCAGAGGTGAATCTGTTTGGGGGCTGAAAGAGTATTAAAAAGAGAACAGGGCCGGGCGCAGTGGCTCAAGCCTGTAATCCCAGCACTTTGGGAGGCCGAGACGGGCGGATCACGAGGTCAGGAGATCGAGACCATCCTGGCTAATATGGTGAAACCCCGTCTCTACTAAAAATACAAAAAACTAGCCGGGCGAGGTGGTGGGCGCCTGTAGTCCCAGCTACTCGGGAGGCTGAGGCAGGAGAATGGCGTAAACCCGGGAGGCGGAGCTTGCAGTGAGCTGAGATCCGGCCACTGCACTCCAGCCTGGGCGACAAAGCGAGACTCCGTCTCAAAAAAAAAAAAAAAAAAAAAAAAAAGAGAACAGGATGCTTAAGCGCAGAAGAGGTAAATGTCATTGGTGTAAATGTTATTGGTTTTTTGTTTGTTTGTTTGTTTGTTTTTTTGGAGACAGAGTCTTACTCTGTCGCCCAGGCTGGAGTGCAGTGGGGTGATCTTGGCTCACTGCAAGCTCTGCCTCCCGGGTTCACGCCATTCTCTTGCCTCAGCCTCCAAAGTAGCTGGGACTACAGGCGCCTGCTACCATGCCCGGCTAATTGTTTTATATTTTTAGTAGAGACGGGGTTTCACCGTGTTAGCCATGATGGTCTCAATCTCCTGACCTCATGATCCGCCTGCCTCGGCCTCCCAAAGTGCTGGGATGACAGGCGTGAGCCACCACTCCGGCCGGTAAATGCTATTGGTTCTAAGATAAAACAGCGTTGGAGGCCGCTGTGTTTGGGATTGTCTACATGGACGTCAAATTGAGCCCAGAAGTCATAGGTGGTGACCTAGAGAAAGAGACCATGAACCAACAAGGTGGTTCCACAGGGGTGCTGGGTAGATGAGGCAGATGACATGACCCAAACAAAGAGGATTTTACACAAGGGATGTAAAGTAATGTCTAGGCACAGGAAGGGAGACCAAGGGCAATGCTGACTCCTCCTTCCAGATTTAGGATATGCAGGAGAAATAGCTGCCCCCATTAGAATGGTTCTAAGTTTTTAAAAATAAACTGTCCCTACATGAGGACAGGTGACCAGTCTACAGTGGGTTGGAGATATAGGGAAAGACTTTACAATAAAAAGGACAGGAGGTTCTGGATGAACCAAACAGGACAACGTAGTAAAGGGGGAGAAACAGCAACCAGGGATTGTGCATCTTGAGCAGTGCCTCAGAGTGAAAAGCTCCAAACCGCTTCTGGTGCAGCTTCTGGCATGACGCCGAGAACCCAGCACCCACAGCCATGCAGCCCAGGTGTCATGGAATTGGAGAAATTGAGCGGGGCAGTTGCTCTGGAGGTCAGGCAGCCACGGACCACTATTCCAGGCTGTCTCTGGCATTAAGTGCTCCAAGGACTTTCCCCAAACAGGGGCCAGCTTTATACTTACATCATGCAATACTTAAAACGACTTATGCACAGTATACAGTTGTGTGAAAATGTGCAATGTAATCATCCATGCCCATCGTCTGGCAGCACTGCCTTTTTAAAAATTCAGGCCTCTGTTTCTATCCAAATCTCTGTCTTCATTCTCCTCCTCCTCTTCCTCCCTCTCCTCCCCTCCCGCCTTTATCAAAGTAAACTGAATTAGCCTCCAGCAGGTGGGCATTAAAAGATTGTTACTATCTGTGCAGTGTTCATTTTGAAAAGGAATCTGCTATGTAGCAACTTCTGAACTGGGCTCGCTTTGTGCTCTTTGAGGCACCACAGAAGTCAGTGTAGAACAGTTCGAACTAATACTCTCCTGCCCAGAAAGAACCAAGAGTCCTGGAAAGACAGCCCTGCACTGCTCTGCAGACTCCCCCTCAGGAATGAAAGCTGCCTGCTAGCAGAGCCGCAGTGTCCATCCCCTACAAGGACTGAAAGGAGCCCCTTCACTCAGAGTCACAGACCCATCTCCAGATGTCTGCATTCCACGGCTGACCTCCACGGGGGTCCCAGGCCACAGTGAGTCAGCTTTGCAAGGCCATCCCGCCTTCAGAGCTCCTGAGGTCCTGGCTGAGGCCTTTATCGGGACTGTGCCACAGCTCAGCTTCTCTCCCTTACTTCATCCTGCTCCTTCCCTTCTCCTTTATGATGTAAATCCCCAAAAACACTCCCCAAGACACATCCTTTATTTCATCATCACAGAGATCTGAGGAGCTACACATGGTGTCACTGCCGAATAAGGACAGTTTCAGAAATCTGATCTGACGCTGCAACATTGGTTTATAAAAAATATCGTACTGGCCGGGCGCGGTGACTCACGCCTGTAATCCCAACACTTTGGGAGGCTGAGGCAGGAGGATCGCTTGAGCCCAGGAGTTCGAGACCAGCCTGTGCAACATGGCAAAACCCCGTCTTTACAAAAAATTAGCCAGGTGTGATGGCACGTGTTTGTAGTCCCAGCTGCTCCAGGAGGCTGAAGTGGGAGGACTACTTGAGCCCAGGAGTTCGAGACTGCAGTGAACTATGATCACACCACCATACTCTAGCCTGGGCAACACAGTAAAACCCTGGCTCCAATATATACATACATATATATATGTATATAAGATACATATATACATATATTGTGTGTGTGTGTGTGTGTATATATGTATGTATGCCAGGTGCAGTGGCTCATGCCTGTAATCCCAGCACTTTGGGAGGCCGAGGCAGATGGATCACTTGAGGCTAGGAGTTCGAGATCAGCCTGGACAACATGATGAAACTCTGTCACTACTAAAAATACAAAAATTAGCTGGGCGTGGTGGCGCACACCTACAATCCCAGCTACTTGGGAGGCTGAGGCAGGAGAATCACTTGAACCCGGGAGGCGGAGGTTGCAGTGAGCCGAGATTGCACCACTGCACTCCAGCCTGGGTGATAGAGCGAGACTCTGTCTCAAAATAAATTTAAATAAATAAATAAATAAATAAATAAAAGAAATAAAAGAAAATATAATACCAGTTTACTAGATATTGAAGGAGGAAGGGAAAAGAGTTTGTGCTAACTCATTTGACCTTGGAATTAAATCCTTACTTTATGTTTTCTCCAGGGAAGACGTATTCTGAAGAACACGGAGATAAACTGTGATAAGAGCTCATCAGCCCAGGATTTGGGTGAGGTAGATTCTGGCCTCCATTGTGATGTTAACTGGAATACACAACGTTATCTTCATCTGCATCCACTTTTAACTTCTCCAAGGTAACTTCTCTGTGAGAACTGCCAACTCATAGGGTAGCCCTGGCTGCCATTTTTGGAGTCCATGCCATGTTCTGACATCTGGAATTCAGCAGTTGTGCTCTTTCTCAGAAATAGAGCTATCATCGCAAAGAAAGCTATTTTGGTGGGAAATTTTAAAAGATGGCTTAAACTATTAATTCCACCCTTAAAATTTTTTAATCACAGGCAACTTTTAAATATAAATACAAGTAGTCTCCAGTTTTTGAACGAAGTGTATCATATATGTAATTCATAATTCATTACCGGCCATGTGCAATATAGCTCATGCCTATAATTCCATCACTTTGGGGGTCTGAGGTAGGAGGATCACTGGAGCTCAGGAGTTCTAGACCAGCCTGAGTAACATAACAAGACCTCGTCTCTACTAAACATAAAAAATTAGCAAGGCATGAGGGCGTGTACTTGTAGTCCCAGCTAATCAGGAGGCTGAGACGAGAAGATGGATCGAGGCTGGGAGATCGAGGCTGCAGTGAGCTATGATCGCATCACTGCATTCCACCCTAAGCAACAGAGCAAGACCCTGTCTCAAAAAAATTAAAATAAAGTAAAAACAAATGAACAAAAAATTCGCTACCTCAATGGAAGCAGCAGTATAAATAAACATTAGTTCAGCTCAGTAAAAATATCTTGAATGCCTACCGTGTCCCTATCACTATGCAGACTCCAGAGGTACCAGCTGTTTTTCCTAAGCAGCTGGTAATTTTGCAGAGAGAAGCTTCCTAGGCCAAAGCATAAAACCCTATTCAACCCATAGACAACTCTGGTACCTCTAACCATCACTCGTAACACCTTTTTACTAAGGAAAAAACATGTTCTTAGTTAAACCTCTGGATATCAGGCTGGTCTCGAACTCCTGGGCTCAAGCGATCCTCTCTCTCTCTCAACTCTTGGAGTGAATTTGGGAAAGTCTATAGATACTTCCAGAAAGCAGAAACTTGCTTAATGGAAAATACTGTCCAATACTTTTATTACTGAGCAAGATAAAAAAGGGTCACCGTACAAGCATTATGGTCAAGTTGTGTTCAGCAGTGTTAAGAGGTATTGCCCGAAGGCTCCATGACCACAGAAGTTTGGGAAAGAGTAAGTTTTAACAAGTTTCTTCACTGAGAAGCTTATTAAATACTTCAATATATTATTATGCCTTTTATATCTCAAAAAGACAAAAACCATAATGCAAGCATACTTAATACCACTGAACTGCACACTTAGAAACATAGTCATGGGCCAGGTGCAGTGACTCACGCCTGTAATACCAACACTTTGGGAGGCTGAGGTGGGCAGATCACTTGAGGCTAGAAGTTCGAGACCAGCCTGGACAACATGGCGAAACCCTATCTCTACTAAAAATACAAAAATTAGCCGGGCATGGTGGCATGTGCCTATAGTCCCAGCTACTTGGGAGGCTGAGGCAGGAGAATTGCTTGAACCTTGGAGACAGAGGTTGCAGTGAGCCAAGATTGCACAACTGCACTCCAGCCTGGGTGACAGAGCAAGACCCTGTCTCAAAAAAAAAAAAAAAAAAAAAAAGGAAAGAAAAAAGAAACAGTTGTTTTGCTTAATGATGAGGATACATTTGGAGAAGCGCATTGTTAGGCTATTTCTTCATTGTGTTAACATCAGAGAGTGTACTCACACAAACCCAGACACTATAGCTTGCTACACACCTAGGCTACATGGTAGAGCCTATTTCTCCTAGGCTACAAACCTGTACAACAGGTTACGGTACTGAAGACTATAGGGAACTGTAATACAATGGTAAACTTCTATATATCTAACATATCTAAACATAGAAAATATAAATATATGATATTATAATCTTACAGGAACACCATGATGTATGAGGCCCACTACTGACCAAAATGTCGCTATGCAGCACATGACTATAATTAAGATGGTACATTCTAAGTTATGTGTTTTTTTAACCACAAATTTTTTTTTTTAATGAAAACAAGAGGAAGCAGTTTCTAAGATTCTTTGACTACAGAACTATGTTGTGCGCAGTGTTTCTCTTGGGAATAAGAGTATAATGACTGACCACGTTGATATTCTCAGTGCTAAGGGCATTCCTGGGATGTAGGACTTGTAGTGATAAAACCAGAGCATTCTAGGCAAATACAGACAGTTGGCTACTCTACCTAAAGAAGCCCTGAGCACAACTTGGAAATGTTTCTGTGTGTCAATAAATTTGGGGGCGATTAGAATAGAAAAACAAAGGTGGTTAGACAGGGCATGGTGGCTCATGCCTGTACTCCCACCACTATGGGAGGCTGAGGTCAGAAGACTACTTGAGGCCAGGAGTTTGAGACCAGCCTGGGCAACATAGAGAGACACCATCTCTACAAAAATGTTAAAACTGGGCAAGGTAACACACGCCTGTAGTCCCAGCTACTCAGGAGGCCAAGGCAAGAGGATCACTTGAGCCCAGGAGTTTGAGGCTGCAGGGCACTGAGGGCAGATGAAGGCTGGAATCCGCTACACCCATCCTTGCCACCTCCATCTCCACCGCCCATTTAGATGTATGGGCTGGGCTTTAGCTAGGCATCCATAAGTTAGAGTTGCTTCTGGTGGATCTGGAATTGGCCTGTTTTGTAATACTGATGAGTCTACACCAGAAGGAAATTCATACTTTTCCTCCAGATAAACTGAGACATAAGAAACCTTTTGACCTACCCAGAGTTCTGAAAGAAGACTGCTAGAGCCAAAACTTAACGTTAAGTCACAAGAATCCCAGTGCACTCTGCCAATTTTCTTAGTTCACTTATATCTACTATGATAATGGCTAGAAGAAAGCAAAAGAGCGAATTGGGTAATAACTGTCTCAACCGGCTAAAAGATGACCTCTCCATCCCTGCTTAACTTTAGGAAGTGTTCCACTGTAAAAGAGCAACTTGACAGGCTGAGCCTGGCGGTGACAGCATACAGGACGCGTGCAGCCCCCACGTGGGTGCATTTTGTGTCATCGTGTCTGGAATATCAAGTTTGAGCACGTATGCAGCAAGGATGCCCTTCAACTAAAAGTTGCGTCCTCAAATTGGGGCTTCCGAACTCAGCGTGGCGGTGTTATGAATCAGGTCAAAAGTGCTTTTCCTTAGAGCCAAGTTGAGAGTTGAGAGGCCTCTGCCATCTGCATCTGTGCTTATGAGCAACACATGTGGTCTCTGAGGGGGCTGCAGCCAGCACACACTCCACATTTACATTCAGAACCCAGGACAAAGCCTTTCACACTTGCATGACAAGTGCTTTCTGAAATGAATACAACTGCATACTTCCTTCTTGGGCTCGCAGTAATGAATGAGTTCATACATGGATGGATGATCTTGTGGCTGGCTACAAAGAATCGACTAAAACCCGGGGAAATGCAGATAGATTAAAAAGGAGTGAGACACGGGTCCTTCCTATGCTCTCTGTTTGTCCAACAAATTGGAAGTCCTCTAGTGGCTGTCGGAGTCCCAGCAGCCCAGAGGAAAGTGCGAAAAATCTCCCCAAATGAGTAATTAGGTCGCCGGACCCAGTGGTTCAGGCCTGTAATCCCAGCACTTTGGAAGGCTGGAGTGGGCAGATCACTTGAAGTCAGGAGTTCGAGACCAGCCTGGCCAACATGGTGAAACCCCATCTCTACTAAAAACACAAAAATTAGCCAGGCGTGGTGGTGGGCGCCTGTAATCCCAGCTACTTGGGAGGCTGAGGCAGGAGAATGGCTTCAACCCGGGAAGTAGAGGTTGTAGTGAGTGGACATTGCACCACTGCACTCCGGCCTGGGTGACAGAGTGAAATGAAAGAGAAGCAAGGAAGGCAGGAAGGCAGGAAGGCAGGAAGGCAGGAAGGAGAGGGAAGGAGAAGGAAGGGAAGGAAAGGGAAGGGAAGGGAAGGGAAGGGAAGGGAAGGAAGGAAGAAAGGAAAGGAAAGGAGAGGAGGGGAGGGGAGGGGAGGGGAAAGAAGGGGAGAGGAGGGGAGGAAGGAAGGAAGGAAGGAAGGAAGGAAGGAAGGAAGGAAGGAAGGAAGGAAGGAAGGAGGGAGGGAGGGAGGGAGGGAGGGAGGGAGGGAGGGAAGGAAGGAAGGAAGGAAGGGGAGAGAGTAATTCGATCAGCTGCGCTGGCCCCTGCCAGTTCACTTTTTCAAAAGTCAACCTCCTCAAGTCACCGTCTTCTGTTTCTCAAAGGCTTCGCATACAGAAGGTGCTGTGACTACAGCGGATGCTCTGGAATCTGCTGGAGATCTGCAGTCTCCATTGGTCCTAGTGAGGGGAGACCTTTGACTCCGTCCTCGTGGGGCTTTTTCCCTAAGAGAAGAAGGTATTGTCCCACTTGATGAATTTGGGGGAAATGTATATTAGAGAACGTGTACAGCAAGGTCAATAGTAACAACACAGACCCTAGTATAAGCATTCCATCATCTGCTTATTATAACTTCTCCAGGCTGTGAAAAATTAGCATCAAGGCCAACAATGCGTGCTCACTACTCTGAATGAATGGTACTTGACATTTACTAGGAGAATTGGCGAAGCAGCCATTGGCCAAAAGGACACAAACACACATAGAACGAAAATAATTCTTATTTTATTTTCATTCAGATGAGTAAGTCAAACTGTTTTCATAGCTGTTTGTCCAAGTAATCTTCCTCCCAGGAGGTGCTTACAAAGCCACTGAATTCCCTGGGTTTCAGCTGCAGTAATGAGTCGTTAGCCACCATGCATACAATCAAAAGAGAAAGACAACTTCAAAGACAATTAGAAGAACATTTACCTAAAGAACAAAAATAAGGAAAACCAAGCATCTCAAAAGTCAGTTTGCTAATCCGACAGTTTACATTAAATGGGTGATTTTATTGATTCTATCCCTAATTTGCTGTAAGATTTTACTTAGTTCCCTTAAAACGGCAGCATGGGGGATGCAGGGGCTCATGCCTGTAATCCCAGCACTTTGGGAGGCCAAGGCAGGCCGATCACTTGAGGTCAGAAGTTCGAGACCAGCCAGGCCAACATGGTGAAACCCCCTCTGTACTAAAGATACAAAAATTAGCTGGGCATGGTGCAGGCGCCTGTAATCCCAGCTACTCAGAGGCTGAGACGGGAGAATCACTTGAACCGGGGAGGCGGAGGCTGCAGTGAGCCAAGATCACGCCATTGCACTCCACCCTGGGCGATAAGAGTGAAACTCCGTCTCAAAAAAATAATAATAGTAAAATAAATAAATAAAATGGTAGCATGAAATGTGTTTTTCCACTGAAAAGCTTTAGCATATTTATTAAAAGTGCTCTCTCTCTCAGGCACACACACCACACACCCCCAGTTACTGTCATCCCCCAAATTAACATGAAATAGATTAGCATGAGTATTTTATTTGTTTCTTGTGAAACTGGTTTTTTGCATTTCCAAATGCATTTCATTTCATGTTGTTTTATGATGAAGAGATTAATGCCATCAGTGTAGAAATATTTTCTACACTGGTCAAAATAAAGTTCAAAAGGAAAGGATGACTTTTTTTTTCTTTTTTTTTTTTTTTTTTTTTTTTTTTTTTTTTTGCTTTCAGGTTCAATGAAAATAAAATGCAGACCTTATAAGCAGACACTGTGATTTTTTAATAAAGAGGGGCAGTTTTTACAGGAAAAAGAATCCGAGGGAAGCTATTGGCAGTTTGTGAAACGATGGTTATGGTGGAATTCGTTTTTCTGCACATTAGATGTTTAAAACAGCTGGTTTTCGTTGTTGTTGTTGTTTTCCTGAAACAATCTTGTTCCCCACAATATGTTCCTGGTATTCAAAATAGCTTTTGCTCATACTTTTTGGAAAATGCACTTCAGTTTCCCAATTTATTCATTTATTAGTTAGTTCATCAATTAGTTTATTCATCAATTAGTTCATCCTTTGTGGAAGACAGTGTGGCGATTCCTCAAGGATCTAGAACCAGAAATACCACTGGACCCAGCCATCCCATTACTCGGCTTATTGTTGATTTCTCCGAATGTGAATTCCACTCCTGGACACACGACCTTCTTCTCAGAAATAAGACAGAGTTTTTCCTTGCACTTCTTTATATGCTTTTTCTCCGACTTTTGCCATGTGGTACCAACTGGAAGTGCTGCTTCCTGCTTTTGGTTTTCCTTCATTTTATTTTATTTTTCAAGCTGGGTCTCACTCTGTTGCCCAGGCCGGAGTGCAGCTCAACCATCATGGCTCACTGCAACCTTGACCTCCTGAGCTCAAGCAATCCTCCTTCCTCAGCCTCCCGAGTAGCTGGGACCATAGGTGTGTGCCACCACCCTTGGCTTTTTTTTTTTTTGTAGAGACGGAGTCTCCCTGTGTTTCCCAGGCTCGGTGTTTTTCAAATATTTGAAAATATAAAAGTCATTCTTAGCCCACAGGCTGAACAAAAACAGATGGAAGACCAGATTTAACCCATGGGCAGTGGTTGGCCAAACCCTTGTATATCCCATGCCATGCCCTACTATTCCAGACTTAAAAGTTATAATTTTAGAATAAACTTTAGTTATATTTTTGTCATGTCAGAAGAGTGCATATATTTTCTTTTCTTTCTTTTCTTTCTTTCTTTCTTTTTCTTTCTTTTTTTTTTTTTTTTTTTTTTGACAGAGTTTTGCTCTGTCACCCAGGCTGGAGTGCAGTGGCATGATCTTGGCTCACTGCAACCTCTGTCTTCTGGGTTCAAGTGATTACCCTGTCTCAGTCTCCTAAGTAGCTGGGATTACAGGCTCATGCCACCACGCCCAGCTAATTTTTGTATTTTTAGTAGAAACGGGAGTTTGTCATGTTGGCCAGGCTGGTCTCGAACTCCTGACCTCAGGTGATCCACCTGCCTAGGCCTCCCAAAGTGTTGGAATTACAGGCGTGAGCCACTGCACCTGGCCTGAGTATATACATTTTCATAGACAAAAACATATCTTGGAAATACTTATCAGGAATGTGTGCATATGAATTACAAAATGTAAAAAGCTTCAACCCCTGCCCATGTGTGGCAGGAGGTGATCCTCACAGAAGCCGTCAGGGCATGACTTCATTCTAGATGCTGTAAGTAGCAATAATAAAAGAGGAAGCAAACACATGCAGCTTCTGGAATTCAGACCCTGGAGGAAGGAGACAGGTGGCCTTGAGTGAGGATATGAGGAACACAGTCAAGGAGAAAATGCAGCTGGTGAGTTATAAACATCCAGGGGCAGACATAGTTAGAAAGTTAGGAACCTCAGTCCTTTAATGGAACCGAGAAACCAGAGGCCAGTAGGAAACGGCTCCAGGAAGAGCGAAACTTGATAAATGTCCTAGACGTCAGTGAGAAAGATCCGTTTGTTTTGTTTACACTGAAAATTTTTAAATTGCATGACTTTTTAGAGCACTTTTACATTTTTTTTTTTTTTTGCCTAGAATTAGATCCAAAGAATAAATGACCTATTCAGCCTGAAGGGATTTTAGGAAAAAATAACTTTTAAAAATATATTTGTTTTTTTTTGTTTTTTTTTTTGTTTTTTTTTTTTTTTGAGACGGAGTCTCACTGTGTCCCCAGGCTGGAGTCAGTGGCGGATCTCGCTCACTGCAAGCTCCGCCTCCCGGGTTCACGCCATTCTCCCGCCTCAGCCTCCCAGTAGCTGAGACTACAGGCGCCCGCCACCACGCCCGCTAGTTTTTTTTTGTATTTTTAGTAGAGACGGGGTTTCACCGTGTTAGCCAGGATAGTCTCGATCTCCTGACCTCGTGATCCACCCGCCTCGGCCTCCCAAAGTGCTGGGATTACAGGCTTGAGCCACCGCGCCCGGCCTTGTTTTGTTTTTGAGACAGAGTCTTACTCTGTCGCCCAGGCTGGAGTGCAGTGGCGCGATCTCAGCTCACTGCAAGCTCCACCTCCCGGGTTCACACCATTCTCCTGCCTCAGCCTCCCGAGTAGCTGGGACTACAGGCGCCTCCCACCACACCCAGCTAATTTTTTTGTGTGTTTTTGTAATTTTAGTAGAGACGGGGTTTCACCGTGTTAACCAAGATGGTCTCGATTTCCTGACCTCGTGATCCGCCAGCCTTGGCCTCTCAAAGCGCTGGGATTACAGGTGTGAGCCACCACACCTGGCCTAAAAAATATATATTTTTAAAAAAATTAAGGCAGGGGTCTCACTATGTTGCCCAGCCTGGTCTTGAACTCCCGGGCTCAAGTGATCCTCCAGTCTCAGCCTCCCAAAGTGCTGGGATTACAAACGTGAGCCACTGCACCACACCAAGAAAAAGTATCTTAATGACATATTTTCATGTGTGTTTTTCTTCAGCCCTCTGGATGCCAGCTCTCCTTCCCACTGGGCACCTCCCTGCAGCAGTTTCTCGTTATGACTTTTGGGAGCTTTTACAGATGTGAAATCCTCCTCTTTAATTTAAGTCTGTGTCCACTAATTTGGTCCTCCACAAAACTGATGAAAAACTAGTGCACATTCCTCACATTAAAACTTGTCATTTGCCTAAAGATTGTCATTAAACCCCCCTCGGTCTACTTTTCTCCTGACCAAACAACCCCAAGGCCTTGAACACTTTCTTATAGAACCAACCGTCATCGTTTAAAACATTTGTGTGCCTCCTATTTCTTTACAACATTTTTTAACAGCAGAAACAAACCCCCAAAATGCATTTTCTAGTGAGGCTTGGAGTAAGGTGGATTAGAGAAAGAATACACAAAGAAGAATGATTTCCTAAACTGCACCCGTTGTACTTCTGGCATCTCAGTACCATGCTGGGCTTTTTCCCACAGAATGGCTACATTTCTGAGGAGTATTCATTTAGTAAACCGAGTTCTCTGCACACAGGTCATTTTGCCAGTAAACTTGTACCTTGTAATAATCTCAGCAACAACAGTAATAGCAGCATCTAACTTTGTTGCCCTGTGTTAACGGCTGACAGCTGCCCTCTGCTGTTGGTCTATCATCATTTGCATTTTACAGCGGAGGATCCAGGCTTGGAGAGGTTCAGGAACTCTCCTGAGATGATCCTGGCTGTGAATGGTGAAGCCTGGGTTGTAATCTACAGCTGGATCCCTGGATTCTCACTCTTGAGTGCCACGCTGTATACTTCTCAGTGTCGATCTGTGGATTGAAATTAGCAGTATCTGCCGGGCGCTGTGACTCACGCCTGTAATCCCAGCACTTTGGGAGGCCAAGGCGGGCGGATCATGAGGTCAGGAGTTCGAGACCAGTCAGGCCAACATAGTGAAACCCTCGTCTCTACTAAAAATACAAAAAAATTAGCCAGGTGTGGTGGTGTATGCCTATAATCCCAGCTGCTTGGGAGGCTGAGGCAGGAGAATCGCGTGAA